GTAGAGAAAAGAATAGAGAACAGGCTTGAGCACTAGGAAGTTCCAGGGTTGACATGTAGAAGAGATGAGGAGGAACCAGTGAAGGACACAGAGAAGAGCAGTCAATGAGCAGGAGAGTGAAAGGGTGAGTGCAGGGAGAGAGAGACACGTTTCCAGGAGGAGAGTGGAGCTCTGTCAACTCCTGTAGATAAGTAGAGTAAGATTTGAGGTCAGGTAAGACTGGGAGTCATTGTTGGTGTTATTGAGAGTTCAGATGATAGAAATGAAAGTTCATGTGCAGTGCTTCCAACAAGAATGAGCCAGGAGCAACTGATGACCGCAAGAGGGACAGCTCTCTTGAGGATTCTTGCTGTAAGAGTGAGCTGAGAACAAAAGCCATATGGAAGGGCATAGAAGGTCAAAAGAGTTTTTTTTTTCCCTCCTACTTTAGAAGGTACTAGAGCATATTGTATACTGTTGGGAATAATCTAGTAGAGAGGAGACAATTAATCATGCAGAAAAGTGAGTAGTGAATTACTGGAGCAATAGATATGGCATAAAAAGTCTTCATCAGTTTAAGTATAATTTGTGTTTTTAAAAAATATGCCCTTCTCTCTGAGTGGTTTTTATATTGGCACCAATTGTACATAGACCTTTACTATTGTTATTGTCTGTGTATGAGCTGACTTAAATATATTGAAAAATTAAAATGTCTTCATTAAAATTTGATTTAGATTTGGTCACAGTCCAGTACAAAAAAGACTCAGCTGCCTGGCCAAGAGCAACTCTATCTATGTTGTGGCAAATATTGGAGACAAAAAGAAATGTAATGCCCGTGACTCCAAGTGTCCGTCAAATGGCTATTATCAATATAATACCAATGTGGTGTATAATTCAGAAGGAAAGCTGGTGGCACGCTACCACAAGGTAAGACAGAGAGAGCAGAGCCAGATATGAGAATGGGGAATATTATGTTTAGGAGTTTGAGCGTTAGTCTCTATATAATACAATATTATTGGAGATTTTTGGTGAAAATGAGTAATAAACGAAGTGGAATTCTAGGGGAAAAAAAAACTGATCTGGAAAAAAAATGTAGAGAGAGACCTGATAGAGAAGTGTCATTATGGTCCAGGATTGAGATAAGGTTTTGTGTTTATAAAATAAATAATTTTACTATTGATGAAAAAGATATAAAGCTGATTGTAATGTGGATACCATTTAATTAAGATATGGTATGAACATGCTTCAAAATTGTAAGAATTAGTTTTTTGCATAAATTAAATTTTTATCAAATCCCCAAATATTCAATTTTCAGTACCAGTTAATTTAATTACCTTCTTGTAGATTTAAGTTTAAAACATACAATTAAAAAAAAACATTTTGAATTTATATATGACAGCGTAATGCATTACAATTCTTATTACACATATAGAACACAAGTTTTAAATATCTCTGGTTATATACAAAGTATATTTACACCAATTCGTGTCTTCATACATGTACTTTGGATAATAATGATCATCATGTTCCACTATCATTTCTAATCCCATGTCCCCTCCCTTTCCCTCCAACCCCTCCACCCTATCTAGAGTTCGTCTATTCCTCCTATGCTCTCTCTCCCTATCCCAATATGAATCAGCCTCCTTATATCAAAGAACACATTTGGCATTTGGTTATTTGTGATTGGCTAACTTCACTTAGC